CAGCAGAGCTAAGCAGTTCTTTTATGTCCACTCAAATGTACACGTTTTTCCACCTTGAACACACAAATCCAATTATGTTCTAATTGAGTGTTACAAGCCTCATTGATTATGATAGAGGCAGTGCAGCAGACTGAGCAGGAGAAGACTTATCCCCAGTAATTAGCCCCCAGAACGCAAGCCATGATTTAATAATGAGGCAATATTTCTCAATATTAATCAATTTGAATGGACTTTGCCAGCAATGAAATTTTAATATTTATAAAGTCCAAAATAAATAATTAAAGCACAACCAATCTAGAAATTTCAATGCAGACACAATTTGATTTATACCTAAGAACTACTCTAGTTTGGAAAAACTGTAAAAATCTCCATTATATAGTGTTATGTACAAAGCTAATCAAACCTGAATTCAGTTTGCTTAATTAATTCATGTTTTTCATTGGAAAAACTGGAGTCAGCCAGTTAATAATTATTCTTTGTCATGGTATGATTACTTTGCTTCCTCTATTTCATGTCCTATTAACTCAGTCAGTGTTCAGGTTTAACAAAACAGACTGAGTTAATGGGAAATAGCAGTCAGAGGGGGATGTACACACTTGGTCTTTTGGAAAGGTCAGAAGGAGGTCATTTTTGCCTGGTGTACGAAAAACCGGACTCTGGAGGTCTAGACTCTATGAATGCATAAAAAGCTTCCATTTCAATTTCAGTGTCAGGAATCTAGACAAGGCAAGAATAACAAACAGTTCATGAATCCAAACTAAGTCATACATTTACACAGATCAGCCATAACATTATGACCACTGACAGATGAAGTAGATAACACTGACTGTCTCGTTAAAATGGCACCTGTCAGTATGTGAGGTATATTAGGCAGCAAGTGAACATTCAGGCCTTGAAGTTGATGTCTTGGAAGCAAGAAAAACAGGCAAGCTTAAGGATCTGAGTGACTTTGATAAAGGCCAAACTGTGATGGCTGACGACTGGGTCAGAATGTCTCCCACACTGCAGGTCTTGTTGGATGTTATGAGTCTGCAGTGGTTAGTACCTACCAACAATGTCTAAGGAAGGACAAACAGTGAACCAGCGACAGGGACATGGACGCCCAAGGCTCACTGAAGATGAATTTTGACCTAATGGAGATTAAACTTTTAAATTTCATTCATCCTTTTAAAAAGATCTATTTTGGTTGAATCTTAGTTAAAATGGTTGAAAATGAGAGATACTGTACAGTGGTTTCTGTTAAGAGAAACATTCAGCAGCTACAGTGGTGATATCACACGGAGAGTGGGGAGGCTGTTGAATTTTATTTCTCTAAAAAAATTATCACTAACTTGTCCTCACAACCATAGTGTTCACTTTTTTTTACATTTACTGAATGGTAGATACATTTGTACTCTTCCTGACAGTACTAGTAATGGGGTTTTTCCATTATAGGAACCTACTGAAATGTGTTAAACCCTTCTTTCCATCCAACTTGATGGGACACGCCTGCATTGTGACAAAAATTGAAAATATGAGTCAGAATACAGAGTCACTGGTGATGCGACACTGGCATAAACATTGTCCTTTAAGACCTTAAGTGTCAGCAGAGTAAAAACTGACTGACTGTCACAATGCTCAATGAATAAGCATAATATTAAGACACAGCTAAAACACTTGTAACCCAATCACAAAGGCGTTAATATTGCTTTCCTGCAATTTTACCATGAAGATGAAAAGCTCAGCATTCTGCTGTCCTGACCACATTAGTCACCTTTTATGACGTTCACACCACAACATGATCAAACAGTTCAAAGTCCCGCCTGGGCACTTGAGCTGTCCACAAAAAAGGAAAGGCGCTCTTGAGATTGTTTAATGCAATTATGGAACGTCTCCACTGTAGGTGTACAGTGCAAAGGAAAGTCACTTGAAGCTCTCCAAATTCATTAAGGAGTTTAACACAAGGTAAGAAACTAATTTCACATTGAATTTTGTTGTATTTTATAAGCTAGTCTGGTCTGATGTTTAGTGTGTTTGAAAGCTTACACAGTTGTGAGGCTTGACAAATTTAGCAGTTTGTGCCCACTTTGATGTTAATCGACTACCTGACGTTGCAGCACACCTGTATGTGGTAGACAGCCTATGGCAAGCCATGGAGCTCAGAGAGCGTGCATGTTAATGCACACCAGTAGGCTACGTGTTAAGACGTTAATAACCATATGAGAAATGATATTTCTCAATCTCGATGGCTTGCCACAACAATAGCCTAGCCTCAAAGTTTATGTAACTAATCAGCCAGTAAAGCCATTGGAATGTACAACCACAATAAAACAATGTGCTGTTGTAAAACTTGCCCAGTGGTCATAAATGTTTCCTTTGAGGTTCAGGTTGAATAATACTAATAAAAATAACATTTCTCATAGCGTATGAGATAGTTCAGTTCATGTGGAACAGAGGTATCTGTTGTGGTTCTTAGGCTGAAAGTCTTTTTGTTAGAAGATCAGGCTCAACTTCAAAGGCATGAAATCTGTACATGATGTCTGAAACCGAATCCAGAGGACCCGGCTGCTGCAGCTGCACCTTACAGGGGACGAGACAAGCATGTGGGCAGAATGACAACAATAGTTTGTCTGCTTCACTGCTCTTTCTTTGTTTTAAATGGTGCAAAATGGAAATAAAGTGCCAGTTCATTCGATAAACATCCAAATGTCACACAAAACACAGAGACATCTGTGGTTGAATGGTTACAGTGGGGAAACATTTGGGTTCTTACTGAGCGATGTCAAAAATGGATAAAGTTGATAGAGTAATGAAAGCATCTGCTCTGTATGGACAATTTTAGCAGCACTGGTCAGATGAGAAAAATCAGAATGAGTTAAGAGAGCATTTTTATATTCATGAATTATTTTTTTGTTTTTTGCCTACTTGCTTTTTCTTGTTTTATTCGTTTGTGGATGCTTGACTTATCACTGTTGTTGCAGCTGTTTAAAAAAATGGATTAGAAATCAGTAATGCAGTTATGTTTGTTTTTGCAAGGCTGGTGCTTAATATACTTCCTACTAAAGGGCTTTTGAGACCACATCCTAAACCTGATGCAAGTGAACTCTCTGGCTCAATCAGGCTGCCTCTCTGTGATGTAATTAGCACCGTTCAAAGCATTCTTTGTTCAGTGACCCCTTTATTTGCTGGGCTACGTTTTCTTCAAGAGTCCATTTGATTCGGTGGCTTACTAAGCTTGAGAAACCATGCTTTGTCAGAAGTGTAAGCAGGGGAATTTTGTTGCTTTTTAAAGTTGTGTGACTGTAATCCTGGCATAATGAGTTTATGCTGACGTGAAGGCAGTGTTGCGAAACTAAAGGGGTAGGTTCGGAGGGGGGGGAATATTTTGTCCTTACCAATCTTGAGACCAGTGTTGGAGCTCTCATAACCATTTTCATTAGAAACAAGAATTAACAGAAATCTAGGGATCTAACTGTTATGTTGGTTTACAACTGTGCGTCAAGACTCAGAGGATTTAATATGTAACAGAGATTTGCCCTGACTCAGGAGTCACCACTAGATCCAACCTGGCCTGATAAGATGTGTCAGGTTGTGCTGTCATGTGAAATTTAAGACATATTAACAAACACATATACTGTTTAGCTCTGAACCTTACAATGAATGCATTGATCAATCTATATGTTTTATTTAATTTTCTGTTGCAAAACTAATCTATTAATCAGCTAATCATTTTGGGACTAGTGTTGGTTAACAGGAAAACTGAAGAAATTGTTAGTGTTAGGAACGCTCTGGTAGGGAGGTGAGCGAGTAAAAAATGACGGACCCAGGTAGCTGACTTCGGTGCAAGAAGTGCTCCATTTATTTACAGTGACAATAAATATGTGTACAACCAGGTGAAGGAATATGGAGCAGAACCGGGTGTCGAGCGGCAGTCTTGGAAAACATACAGTCAGTGATGTGATGATAAGGAGGAGGCCGGGCTGCGGATGCTAGGATTCACTCCTGGACTGGTCGTGGTGGTTGGTTGCTGAGGGGACAAAGTCAGAGTAACAGTTAATGGAAGACTGTGCATCGACCTGCGTGGTGGAGTGATGTGGAGTTGTGGAGGTCCGTGGTCCGAAGGAGCGATAGCGGCTGGGAAGACAAGACATGGGGCACAAGGCAGGAACGGAGTTGGGATGAAGAGCGTGAGCAAATATATATAGAAGACAAATAATAGGTCGGCATAGAAACGGGCTAGAGTATAGAAAGAACTGGCAGGGAAGTAGACGATGAGCACGGCATAAATAGGAAGAAACTAATCAGGTGCAGCTGGTGGTGATTCAGGGGACGTGAAGCAGGTGTGTCAGATAAAGAAATCAGGGGAAAGGGAGCTAAAATAGAGGGAGACAAGTGAGAGAGGCAGGTGCAGCCGGGCAAACCTGACAGTCAGTGGTCTGTAACTAAATGTGTTTATTTTTGTTTTTTGTTAAACAGCTGTGAAAAATGTGCAGTGAGAAGTTACATCTATCCTATAAAACAAATTTCTGATATTCTGAAGTCAGCTTTCCGTTACATAAGTCCAAGAGTCCACTACAAATCCATACACTGGAGACGAGTATGAGTTTATTGTTGGATATTGTTTCATGATCTGACAAACCTGACATGAAAGAAAACTGTAGAAAATCTCAGATCACATTCCTGCCCTTTGGGTGGTGTGACTGCGCCTATTGTTGAATCCATTTCATTCTCATATATCATGTACTCTGTTTCCCTCTTTCTCATTATATCGGTATGATCTTAATCATTGTTTACAGGATGTATTTCATTACTGTTTGGAAACTACCTGTTACCTCATTTCCTATAAATCCCATTTTTCCAAGAATTTCTTTCAAACAACATGTTAAAATAACTTGATACCAGTGTAGGAGACTAAAGATGCAGGTGTCTGATTTAGAAAACAATTTCCACATGAATATGTCCTTGGAAGTCTGTATCTTAATTTCTCTGCTGAGCTGTCCTTGATCTTTATCAAGCTGCAGGTGCAGGAGTATGAAGTGCTGTTCTGAAAACTTAATAAATTCTTTCATTTTGCTTTATTTGGTTCCATGTTGTAGTACTGGTGATACTGGTTTAGATTTGATAACTTTTCACAAATAACTCAACTATGACAGAAGGAAGCAAAATGAGAGTTTTCCTGTTATCAGTGTGGAACTCTGTGCTGATAAGAAAGACTCATTGCTCCCACACACAGTTCTCAGTGGAGTTGTATATCTCTGCCCTCCTTCAACCACCAGTCAGACGTCCAATAACACAACTCCAAAAGTAGATGTAATCCCAGTAAGCCACAGGTGACCTTCCAGATTGGCTGCCCAGATCTTCACATTTTCCCCTCCTTTCACACACTGCCTCCCCTCCTCCTCTCTTCCCCAGGCTCCCCTTGTGGTGGTAACCCGCAGCTGAAATAGGGCCTTTGTGGGGTGGAGGCAGCACGCTGCAGCCAGGACCTGTCACATAGCTCTCAGCTCCACAGTGGGACCAAGGCACCTGAATACAGACTGTGAGGGAGGGTAACAGTGTGAGTGAGATCAAACCTAACACAAGGAAACAAGAACACTTCTCCTGTAGAGTCCGACTGACAGCTTGGGAGACTTTTGTTTTTCTTGAGTCAAAGGGATTGGAGCTGTGTGCTGATAGAGTGTGTGTGAAAGTACTTTGAGTTTGAAAACAAAAAAGTGCAATGGATAAAGATGCTTTACAGGACTATGAGTATCCTGACCTGGATCCTGTGCCATCCAAAATTGAACATGAGTAAGTACATTCCTATTGTCTTTATTAAGGATTAATGTTAACGTCTTTTAGGCCTAAATATCATTCACTTACAGTTGTTTAGTTTTGTGTGCTTCTCTTGGTTGTCTAAAGAGCCATTATCTTGAGCAAAATATAATCAGTCCATGGTTAATATATTATCCGAGCTTTTGCAAGTCAGAGCAAACTTGCTGTGAGATACATCTCTCATTGAGATATTATGTGACACTTGGCACACTTCTCCAGAGTCAGTGTCAGCGTGTCGTCTTGTTTCTTTTAGTTTTTTGTCATATTGTTGTAGAGGCTGTATCATTTTCATGTTTTGAGCATGCAAGTTGTTTTGGAAACTGGTAGGTTTTGCCTACAAAAGCACAAAGGTATATTCAATCCAAAATTGTGTTTAAATGTTTTACTGTACTTTTTTTTCAGCCACAGAAACTAAATATGTAGTACTTGGTACCACGCAAAGTTGGACAAAGGATCCAAAGCCTCTACACTGTTATAATGTACCATCATTCTTTGCACTGACCCGTCCCACAATGCAACCTGATACATGTTTTCTTACACCTAAATTGCTTTGCATTGAGAAAAAAAAACATGTTTCCACTGGTGCAGAGTGTTTTAAAAAAATACAATAGGTGAACAAAATGACTGAAGTACAATGAAACAAGTGTCATTTATCACCTGGTGCCATATTTAGCTAATACACTGTCTGGCTGTTTGCAGACATAGAGACTGTGTTGAGACACCTATTCACTAGCGAGCTAAGTTAGCTTAGATGCTAAACACTCAAATATGTCTATCTCTGGAAATGTGAATTTTGACACTGCCAAACAAGTCTCTGGTCTGGTGCCAGGCTGTTTTCTGAATGCCAGAGTTACAAATTCACTCACAAATGGCCATTTCTATGCTCGTAGACACTATATGGAGTAGCCTATTTTTTTTAATCTCCAACTTTTAATACAGTGCAAGTTTTTCTCTGAATATCAGAGTTGTAATTA